GAGCTGGCTGGCGGCGCAGGGTGTGGGGGGCACGGCCCTGGGGCTGTGGGGTAAGTGCTGGTGCCCGCAGCGTGTCCCTTTTCCCCTGGGTGCTTGTTTGCCTGCAGGGCAGCGAGCGAGGCGGGTGAAGAGAGAGGTGGGAGGGGCCTGGTGCCAGGTTGGCCCTTTGGCAGGGTGGTTCGGGACACTGCCAGCGGTGGCAGGGGCTGCAGGTTCAAGTCCCTGATCGGCTTGAGTCCCCTGGCTGCCATCTACTACGCAACCGTTCCCCCCTCCGGCGCTTGCCTACTAGCTGGAACTCAGGGGTGATCGCGGTTGCAAGTCGGAGGGGACTTGAAGTTGTAGCTCAGTTGGAAATGTCCTGAACCACCCGGCGGCTGGCCGGGTTTTTTTTGGCCCTGATTCTGGGGTGCAGAGGCCAAAACAGGAAATGCCCTGACTTTCAAAGTGCAAAAAAACCCCCTCTGCTGCTCCCCCAGATAGTTACAGGGCCAGGCCCCCAGCCCACCTTTCCACACACAAGGGGCCAGAGGGCTCCAGCCAGGCTGGGGCTTGAACCCACAACCTTTGCCACCTAGACTAGCACCCTTACCACCACAGTACCAGGGAAGGTGGGAGCTCCGGCTGCCGTGGGCCCCTTGAGGCACAGCGCCCAGGCCCCGCCATGGAAAGAGGATGGCACCTCCCTGCAAAACAAGGGAGGCTGGGACGTGAACCCAGGCCCTCAGCACCTGCACAGAGAGGCCCAGCACCGCACACCACAGGGCCTGGCTGGCTCAGCCCCTCACTTCTGGGCCCCTTGACTCGTTCCCTGCGCACACGCGCTGGCCCCACGACAAGGCCAGTCCCGGAAAGAGTGCTGCCCTGCCGGTCTCGTGGTCTCATGGCCAAGGCCCCGCGCTGCCAGGCCGGGCCTGCGGGTTTGACTCTGTGCAGTGGCGGCATCCCCTGGGCCCGGCTTTTCCTCTTGCTTTGCCCACCCGCTGCGGGCCGAGGGCCATCATATTTGCCAGGCCCGAGGGGACTTGTTGCAGCCACCCGTGCTCGAGCCTGGAGATGTCGGGCTGGAGGCCAGGACGTTTGTTTGCGGCCACCGGAGCTGCCTGGAAAGAGCAAAGCCGTGTGGCACGTCCCCATGGGCCGCGGGCACCGGTCTTCTCCACTTCCTCACGAGGGACCGCTGCGGGGTCCCAGCTCCTGTGCGACCCCAGCCCAGGGGTGCAGGGAAGGGGGGCGCAAAGGCCTCCAGCCACAAGGGAATCGGGACCCCCAGCCCGCGCTGCGCAGCACCGTGCCCCGGCCCCGGCTCTGGGGGAGGCCTGCGCTGGGGGCGCTGGACAGCCGTGTCCTGAGGAGCGCGGACACGCGGGGACCCAGGCAAGGCCGCCTGCCCAAGCACCCTCCCCGGGGCCTGGCTCAGACCCTGGTCAAGCTGCAGAGCCAGGCAGCCACGGGGCCAAACCCGGCCCAGCACCCCGGGGCGGCTGCGCTCCTGGAGGGGCCCAGCGCTGCGCCCAGGAGACCACTCCCCCCCCCCCCGCGAGCTTGTGCCGGGCAAGGGCGCAGGAGCTGTGCAAGGGGCAGGCCAGGGGCCACGCTGTGGGACGCCCTCATCCGCCCCGTGCTGGGGCGCAGCCCTGCTCCGGCCGGGGGGCCTGAGCCCAGGGACCAGTGCCCCCCCCGGGCTGCACAGCAGCTCCTCCGCCCTTCTGCCAGGTGCCCTGCCCTGCGCTGGCTGGGTCACAGCAGGTTGGAGGCAGACCTGCCTGCAGCACCACTGCTGCCAGCCCCTCGTCTGAGGCAGAAGCCTGCTCTCGCTGCGGCCCTGCTCCTGAGAGCGTTTGACTTCTGCAGGGAGCTGGGTCCTCCCTGTCGTGGGGGAAGGACCACAGGACCTGCTGCACTGCAGACCTTCCTGGCTCTAAGGGGTGCTTGACCCTGGGCACAGGCACGGTTTCCCTGCGCTCACTGCCACAGCCTCTGCCCTCCGGTCCTGGCACTGCCTGGACCCCAGGGGCAGCAGGACATGGCTCTGGGCGGGAGGAGCTCCTGGCACCATGGTGCAGGCGGTTCCTCCCCGCACTCATCCCGCCCGGGCTGCCAGGCACCAGGCAGAGCTCGCTGCCTGCAATCAAGGCTGCTCTAGCCTGGCATCCTTAGCACTAATTGCAGCCCTGGGGTCAAGCCCTAGGAGGAGCTGGGCTCAGTGGGGGCTGCTCCTACCCTGCCAGCTCCGGCACTAAGTGCCCCCCACCTGGTGCAGACCTGGCCGTGGCTGCGGGCACCCCGCTGCAGCCCTGGTTGAAGGCTCCGGGCTGTTCAACGGCCTCGCCTGAGCCCTAGTCCGTGCTCGCACCTCCTTGCGGCCATGGGCCCAGCTCGGCGGTTGTGGTCTGAGCCTGGCCCAGCCCGCGCTCCCTGTCCCAGCACAGCACCTAGTGCTGACAGCTGGGCAGGGGTCCGGGCAAGTCCCGGGCACTTGGGCCTGTCCCGGCGGCACTGAGGCCATGCTGGAGGCTGTGGTGGTGCCCGCAGGGCCGGGCTGGCTCGGGGCGGTGGAAAGCAGAGGCTCAGCCCCATGCAGCAGCAGGGAGCACCCCGGGCCCCATACGCCCCGCATCCCACAGGCTGCCTAGGCACACGGTCCCCCCCGGCCCTTCCACCCCATGCTCCGGCAGCTCCAGCCTAGGCCTTGCAGCGCCATGTAGGTTAAAACCAGTGGGGGGGTCTTGGCAGCCTGGTTTTTGGAGGCGCCGGGTCAGGGGTGAGCACTTTAGGAAACTTACTGCCCCGGAGGTGCTTCAAGCCAGCTCCTCCACGCTGCCACGGCCTAGTTAAAAGCAACAGCCGCATCAGAAGTCAGCTTTCCACCAGCGGTCGTCCAGCTTGTCGTGACGTGCGCGCGCACGGGGCCCCTCACCTGCAGGTTCCTGTTATAAATGACAATGAGACTTGACTTCACATCTGTACAATATTGCTTTCTTTCAGTTAACTCGTTTAAAACCTTTTCTCTCTCCCAGACAAAGGATCCTCCAGGAGACCTCAGAGGCCTGTCTTCCACGGTGGGAGGACTGCCACGGGCAAGATGTATGCAATGGACTCCCGTGTGTAATGCAGCCGTGCGGGCTACCAGGCCGCCTGCTGCCATTCCCAAACCACGCTGCATTAAAGCGCCAAAGGACGAGTCTGCTGTGCAGCAGCAACTCCTTCCCCCTGGCTTTTATTGAAGAGGGAAGGCATCGTGTTAGGCTCCATCCCGGCAGGGTGTCCTCTGGCCAGGCACAGTTATCACTCACTCTTCCAGAACATAAAGTATCCTGAAATGGTGCTGAAAGCTGTGCTAAGGAGGTGGGAGCACAGCATAGGTTACTTCTGCATGTCTTTAGGGTACGGTAGAGAGATACTAGCATCATGTGATGAGATGCTCAGTGAAATAAAGGTTTGTTCTGTGTAGTGTTGACTCGGTTGTGTCTTGTGTTATGTTTCTGACTTCACACCAACGTGGAAGTACGAGCAGAAAAGGCTGCTTTATGTTCTTTGCAGGAAGGGCTGTCTCATTCTGCGCTCTCTCCAGGGAGAGTCACTGGAAACAACAGAGAGAGGTGCAGTAAACTTGGACTTAGGGCCAAAGACCTGCTCCGACCCAAGTTAGCCCCCTAGTCGCCTCGCTTGTGATGACTGCAGTAAAGGAGGCATTAAATACCTCGGCCTTCTCCGCATCAGACATTATTAGACTGACCGCTGGATTCATTAAGGGACCTACCTGCTCCTTGGTGTCCTCTTACTCTTAATACACTCAACGAATATTTTTTTTGGCTGCCTTTTACATCACTTGCTTAAAAGAGAGAGGCAGGTGACCATCCAGCCCAAGCACTGCAGCAGGAGAGAGACTGCAGAAATGTGAATTAATAAAAAGACGCCAGAGCCCAGAGCTGCTGTTGCACCACGATGGAGCTGGTGTCTCTGAGCTGGCTGTGCTCCGGCTCCCTGGGTGAATTTGTAAGTTAGCAAAATTGACTTCTCCTCCTCCCCTGCTGAGTCTGCAGCTAAGGAGCAATTACGGCTCTTCACCTTCTCCAGGATTTACCAAAATAAATGTACAATTGCAACTATGCCTCAAGACCTGGACTCCTCTACACCGCTACTTTTTATTTTGAAAGGATTCAGAATTTCTGCACAGATTTAGGATAGAGGATTTAGGCTGAGATTTTTCCAGGAGGTCTTGGGGAGTTCAACACCTTATACCCATACAAATCCATGGGAACTGGGCACCTAATTACCCTTGGCTCCTTGGAAAATCCCTGCTGTGATAACTTAACCAGATGCACTTTCTCCAACCTACTGCTCCAACACATGCGACGCACATCAAAATGCTGGATGAGTTTATAGCATAGTCCACCCCCCACCCGCTTTGCTTCACAGCAGGAGGCAGAAAAGCTGTTGTTCCCGGGGACTTACGTAGGCATAAAGAGTCTTGTGGATTTATGCCATCTTGTTGAGAAATCCTTGCTGCTGTTACCACTGTTTAGCTGGGATAGGCAGCCCGGTGGGGCACCTGTCACCCCCATCTCAGCTCACCAGCACATGCCGTGAGCACTGAGCTCACCAGCTGGCCGGCACGCGGTGGGCACCCCTTCCCCTCCCCATGGGGACAAGCACCCCTGCTGCTAGTCCCCTTGGCCCCTGCAGCTGAGTTAGGACGTGGGAGAGGGGGCAAGTGGTAGCAGTGCTCACCCCCTGGGCTCTGGAGCATGAAGAGGTCACGCAGGCCAACCCCAAGGGAGGACAGGACGCCAGTCCAGGCTCTTCTTGCAAACTGCTGGTGAAGGAGCACCCATAGCTTCCCTGGGCTTGTTCCACCATCCTACTGCTCTTACCGGCCTTACAGTAAGCCGCAGTGACGGGCTTTGGCTGCAAAACTAGCCCCAGGGGTTCACGTTTGACGCTGCCAGAAATAGACTGTCAGCAGGGACTTGGACCTGTAAGAAAGACCAGAGCTGCCCCGACATCATCTGAGGAAAGAGAAGCCAAGAAATGGGAAGTTTAGAGAGAGAAACGACAACGTGACATGACACGAGCACACAGCACGGAGAGGCCTGGCGTGCTGCTGTCTGCGCAAGAACCACGAACACCCCCAAACCGTGACCGTGTGATTGAAAAACCCTTTCTAGGTGGAGCATGAGCAACACCGAGGGACGACAGGCCTCTGGTTACACAGCTCTCAGTTGCTGGGGGCCAGGCCTTGCAAACAGTCTCTACTTTACAGTCCTGCTTTTTCACACAGCTGGAATGAGCCACTCATTTAATGAATAAGGAGACACTCTAGGCAGAGCGCGTCGCAGAATACATACAGCATCTCTTCCTTGCTGGCGCG